TGATGTTCAGGGTGTTGAAAGGAACCTGTTTTATTTTTTGCAGATGAGCAAATGTGGATCTGGAGGAAAATCCAGAGAGGTTTTGCAGTGGCACTTTACTGCCTGGCCTGATCATGCCACCCCACCTTCCCCAGCTGCCTTGTTGCACTTTGTGCGACGGTCTTCAAGGAGCAACTTTCCCCAGGGGGCCAGTGGGCCAGCTGGACCAATTGTCGTCCACTGCAGGTGAGACTTCTTTTTTTCCCTCTTGAGCAGTGGTAGAGAACTGCAGTCAACCCCTGTCTAATGGACTTGATTCGTGCAAGGGACGAGTCTGTTAGACGAAAAGTCCTTTACACAAATTCAATTACATAAAAAATTAAAAATTTCAATTTTCAACACTAATTTTAAACCAAAAGAAGTCTGTTTGGCGGATGTTGTCTGTTGGGCGGAAGGAAAAACTGCTTGCAGAGCTGGTCTGTTTGGCAAAAATCCCTTACACTGGAGGTCTGCTAGGCGGGGGCCACTGTATTATATATATTTTTCATTCCAAGTTACCTGAAAAGGGGCCACAAGCTGTATGATTAAAATGTGTAGGTATATTCTTGACTTGGGGAAAAAATAAATTTAGATTTTCAGTTCAACCACTGTTGAGGTGTTTCTTGAATTTTGTTATCTATACAACTATGGATATACAGTAGTTTGGGGAATACTGCTCCCAACAAAGATTGAATTGATTTAAACAAAAATGGATAATACTTGAAAAGCTTGGACAGAGTGGATGGAAATATTGGCTAGAAGATTGGGTGTGATTGTTCTTTAGTCTCACCAGCAATGCTGCTAATAAAATAATAAAATAATGGTTGAAAACTGGTGATGATATTGATCAACTTATTGAGAAGATAATTCCATTTCATATGGAAATAAACCATTTAAAGTTGTTCATGGAATACTTTTGGAATATTCCTCACAGCTGCCAGCAAATTAATTGCTCAATTATGATCCTTCACTTTCCTATAACCATCAGTCTTGCAAAAGGTATAGATTACATTCATGACTGATAGTATGATATTATGCTTAGGATATTACAGCATGATTTTGTTTGGCTGTCTGCTGATTGATTATTCATGTCATTGTGAGTGGCCGGCCGCCCTATTTCATATATGGAAATCAAGAAAACTTGAATATTCAAGTTTTATACAGTATTGTGATACATGAGCACAACCTTTTTGTGTTGTTTTTTTCCTTCCTCTCATGCAACAAGGTCCCTTTTCATAGTTCTGTATCTAACCGCGGTGTATATTTAGTGCCGGTGTGGGACGTACGGGGGCTTACATGGCAGTGCACACCTTGCTGGCCCAGCTGGAGGCCACGCGGAAAGTGGGGGCAGCGGGGGTGCTGCAGCGGATGCGGAAGCAGCGAGCCTGGCTGGTGCAGACCCCGGAACAGTACGCCTTCATTCACGACTCTGTGTTGACTGCCTGTTTGGCCGGGGACACAGACATGCCTGCTGCCACCACTGCCCAGGTGGCCAGCCACATCAAGTGAGTGCTGCTGCAATATATTTCATATATTTTTGACTTTAAAATGTGTATATACCCCATCTTTTTTTTAAAATTAATTACTATTTTTTGTTTGCCATGAAGATGATGATGATGATGAAGAGACTTTCATATTATTATTTTTTATTGGCATCATGCAGTGGATGGAGACAATGAAGTTTATTTTTGTATATGAATATATCAATTCAAATATGCTTCTCAAAAGATTCATTCTACAGTAGTTGAATATTTTATTTAGGCTGTGTCAATTAAGTTGAGTTACATTTTGTATTGTTAAAAGAGAGCTATATATACAGTGACATAAAAAATTACTGAGGAATGTGTGCAGCCCTTATGATGTGATTTTCCTTGCTTGTCAACAATTTAGACGAGTTGCTGCATGTATAATTATAAGCAGATTGGTGCCAATTGTTGTTTATGATATCATTGTAGTGCTCAATTGACTTGTAAAATTGAGTTCATTAATTGCAATGACTATGTAAGTATATAGATAATCATACATTTTGTTAGTGTGGATTTACTATTGCATTAAACCAGACTTTATCAATTCCTGTCATGAAAATCTTACTTGTCCCTTTTGAGATTAAGTTGCTTATATGTTTCATAGATGTCACTATTCTAATTTTCAAAATGAACTTTTTTTTTCAACCGTGGAAACCCATTGCTGAAGTTACAGACAATATCAACAAAAGATGCATGGTGGACAAATTCAACTGACATTTCAGAAAAACATTTTTAAAATTTTTAATATTGCTGTAAAAGCAAAAAATGCTGCTCTTGGCCCTCATCCGTGCTAATATAGTTGGACCATATATTAGTTGACTTGAATTTGTTGTTGCATAAAAATTACTGAAATCATATCATATATACCCATTATTTTCTTCAACTCAAATTTTCCATGTGCTGTATACAGAATGCTGCAGCAATTGATGAATATGCTTGAATTGATGATGATACAGTATGTAAAGTTTAGTATTTAATTTTTTTTAAATATGCATTTCAGCACATACCCTATATACTTTATTTATACACATCCTGTATTTCTTGTTTGTCCACTATACTGTGGCCTCAATCTGTAATGTCTCTCTCTCTGCTGAAAATAGCTCCCCGCAGATGCAGCACTTGATAGTCAATCAGTGGAAACTGCTGAGCAACATGAGCAGCAGCAGCAGCAGCAAGGCTTCAGATCAGTGCTGGATCCCATCAATGCAGCAGCCCGTTGAGAGCGAGCATCATCAGCAGGGTGGCAGCAGCAGCAGCAGCAGAACCCGGGAAGTGCAACACTTCCCTGCTGAGTGCAGCAGGGTGAGACTCGTCGGGGGCCAGCACCAGCACCAGGGGGATGATGACTATGTCAATGCCAGCTTCATCACGGGTGTGACAGACTATCATTATGCATAATAGTATATTTATACAACTTTATTTCATTTTATTATTATTATTATTATT